TGCACGCGATTTCTCAGAAACGGCTGGACCGATTCTCACCAAATTTTCAGATCTGATAGATATTTATCTGAACCTTGTCGGAAATTTTTCGTAAGTACGTCGTCACTTCCGGTCGTGAGATATGGACGATTTTCTGATTTTTAGAGGGTCAGCTTGTCCTGAGATCTCCTCCTAAACGACTTAAGATATCGACTTGAGCTTTTCAGTGAAGGTGGAGGAAGGATAGTAGATGTGACATTTTGCATATAGAGCTTTCCAGGTGAAAAGGCATCGATGCTCGCCTGGGATCGAAAAATGCCCTCATACTCATCTCGCAAAAATTGACACGTTTTCTTTTATATCTTTTTACCTGTAAATATTTTGTTAAGACATATATAATAAAAAATGTGCAATATAGTAAGACCTTTCATTTGATATCAAGTAAACGGGGTTAGTCCTTCAAATTAGGGGCATAGAGGGGCCAAAATCTCTCGTCTTTAACTTTTTTGTTTTTCAATCTTTTCAAATTATATTAGAATAGTTGATAGAAACATTTCTTATTAGGCTGAATATATAATTCGTTTGTAAATTTATAAATTCAAACTCGAGATATTAACTTTCAAAAATCTGAAGTGGGAACGAAATGGCGGCGGTCTCTGTCAATTCCGACATTTCGCAATAGCGGTTAACAGAGGCAGCCGAGCGTTTGCTTGAACGAAAGTAACATAAGGAGCAATGAAATGTGTAGGGATACTTGGATTGTCACGTCGTAGGTTCGTTGCAATTCTGTGTCAAACTACATTCATAATCCAAGGTCTCCTTACAAGTCTTCTTTAATTGGTTTTGGTTGTTTCTCAAAGTAGAAAAAAGAAAAGAATTAATGTGCAAATTAAGTACGCATTGATGATATTATCTAAATTAAAAGGATTTAATCAAAAGAGAAAAGGCATGATTCCACGATGTTTTATCAAAGATCATAGTCAAAGTCATATCTCATCTTATCGAAAATTCGGACGGAAGACCTACTCGTTGCTCGCAACGAGATCGCATCTAGTTATTATTATTTTTCTTCTCGGGAAAATTTTGTCCGCGAATGATCTTGTAAACTACACATCCGATTTAGGTGAAATGTTTTTAGGGTCAGTAGACATGTTATGTAGATTTGCGGAATCAAGGTCATTTTGCGCGCATGTGCTTGCAAGAGCGCGCACGTGCAAAACTTGAAATGACCAATATATAATGGATAAAACCGTAACTTTTCTATTTTTTAACAAAATGTTTTGAAACTCATAATGTAAGGATATATTAGTAGTATGCACAAGATGACATGGTCAAAATAGCAAGATTGCACGCGCTTGCACGTGCGCTTTGCTCTGATTGGCTGAAACTAAAGTCTCTATATCTTTCTTGTTTTTTGATAAAATCATTTGAAATTTTGAACATAGTTATACATTAGGGAGATCTACAGCCTGTAATATAAGAATTATCATGAAAGCATGTGCATGCACGTGTGCTTGCAAGAGCTCGCACGTGCAACATGAGAAATGTCCAACATAATTGAAACAGATGTAACTATTTAAATTATTGATGAAATGCTTTGAAACTCATATTATAAGTATATATTAGAAGCATAGACAAGATGACATGGTCAAAAAAGCAAGATCTCACGCGCATGCACGTGCGCTTTGCTCTGATTGGCTGAAACTAAAGTCTCAATATCTTTCTTGTTTTTTGACGAAATCCTTTGAAATTTTAAACATAGGCATGTATAAGGATATCCTACAATAAAATATATAGCAATTATCATGAAAATGCGTGCATGCACATGCGCTGCAATGTGATTGGCTTATGCTTTAAATAGCTATAACTCCCTAGTTTTTCAACCAAACAGGATGAGATTTGGAACATGGATAGATATAATGGACTTCTACAAGATGGTATGGTCATCATGCACATGCATACATGTGCGTGTACGTGCACTGCAATCTGATTGGCTGAAACTTTAAACAGCTATAACTCCCTTGGTTTTCAACCAAACGGGGTGGGATTTAGAACATAGATAGATGTAATGGACTTCGTCATCATGCTCATGTATGCACGTGCTTTCACGTGATATGAGTAAAATCAAACATACAGTTTAATGAGAGTATTTTTTAAATACTTTTGGATTAATCACTTTAATATTTTAGTATATTAAAATATTAAGATTGTATAGACAAGAGAGAGGTCAGAGAGAGAGAGAGAATGAACTTGGTACTTTCTCCTGGGTAAATGTTGTTAAAGCCTCAAATGCATAGAGTTTATCTCTATTAAATTTAATGAAGCTTACAGGGAATGTGGCACCAAAAGGAAGTTGGGGAGCGTTTGGGGAACATCTGTAACGGTCCCCGTTACAATTAGCACTAGTTAGATTTGAAATCTTCCTTCACTTGATACTACATGTATATATATATAATTATTTGCTGATATCACGTATATTTTTTTTTCCTCAAGTGTTTCAAGAATATGGATGAGGATCTATATATGTATTGCAGATATTGACATTGAAATATAAGGAGGATAGGAGTCAACAAATTATTTTTTTTATTAACCACCAGATATAACTTAAATTTTGGGACATGATATCTTAAGCTGTCATCTATCATTTGGCAAAAAAAAAAATTCATAAATTTTAGTTTTAAAATTTGATCATTTTGTTACCATAAATTATTATATGGAGCTCTTCTTCTAAAGGAGCTGTGTTTTCCCTTTATTTCATAGTAAAGGGTTAGAGATCATTTGTAACAGGCTAGGGGCTGATGTTTATTAACAAAATCTCTGTGGACCTTACAACAAATTTTTATTTCAAAGCGGCATTTTTGTCAATTGAAGCGGTCAATTTGGCCGGTAGCCGGTTCTTAGGGAAAACACTGAAGGAGATCAAAATAGTCTAAAAATGGCCACAACCACCCAGCCCTTTAATTCTTTGGAGAGTATATAGATTGGTCACCTTTCTCATTTCATTCATTCACAATTTGTCTTTTCTCTGTTAATTAATAATTATGACAAGATACATCTGACTCCATCATAGCATGAAACACTTGAGAAAGACAGGCACCATATTACATTAAAAACTCGTTTAGTACGAGCACAGATATTGGGAAGTCACAGATATAAGAAAGATATCTTGGATCCCCAACCATATTAATTTCACAAATTCCTTATAGGGATATAACAAATTACGGATATAGCGATGTAATTTCATAGGTCCCAGAGACTTCGTTATATCCGAGTTTTACTGTGCATGTATTCCTCTATCTTGAAAGTTCATAAAATTGACAATCTGATAAAAAATTAGATTGATAAATAGATTATTTCTTTGAAGTGCGGGACCAAAGGGGGACAACCTCTATGAGTGGGTGTCGACAATTCTTGGGCCAAAGGGTACCGTGTACGAGGGTGGAGTTTTCTTCCTGGACATTTCTTTTTCCACTGACTATCCATTTAAGCCACCAAAGGTAAGTCTGAGTCTAAAATGTACAAGATTATTGGTGAGGCTAAAAACTCTATACCAATTATAAAACAGAATTCTGCTTTACCTATACATGTATATGGTAAAAGTTTAATGATTTCATCTCAAAGTTCCTAAACTGTAATGTTTTAACAGTGGAAGTTTTTATTGTTTTTGCCCATAATGGGTGCACCATTGAGCAAGAGTTTTTTTTTTTTCATTTAAAGACTAAATCAACCTTGTAAATGTGTGATAGGCAAGCTCGGGTGATATTGGCAACAGAGATATACACTTGCCTGTCACAGACTATGTCTTTACAAATCTTACAGTAAAATAATATGTAGGTCAACTAAGCACATCATCATTATATTGAGGTCATTTTGAGGTAGTCATTGAATTTTTCGGCGAAAAAATATTAACATGCACAATCACATTTTTTAACAAAAAATTAAATTTTATTTTAAATTTCAGCTGGTATTTAAGACCCGAATCTACCACTGTAACATCAACAGTCAAGGTCACATTTGTTTGGACGTTCTGAAGGACCAGTGGAGCCCGGCGCTGACCATATCCAAGGTGCTGCTGTCCGTGACCAGCCTCCTCGCTGACTGTAACCCTCACGACCCCCTGGTCGGCTCCATCGCCCAGCAGTACCTGTCCAGCCGGGAGGAGCATGACAAAATGGCGCGCCAGTGGACCAAGAGGTACGCCACATGATGACGTCATCTGGAAAGTTAGAGAAACGAGTAACTCCAAGCTGACACAGGACTGGGGAAGGGTGGCATTTACAATCTCAATTGTCTACTGTCCTACAAAAGAAATACTTAAAAGGAATAGAGTCCTGATGTTAAAATAGAGGAAAATAATGAATTTTTATTTTGATATTTTTTTAGTTTAAGAGTTTTAAAGATATCTGTGTCACTTGTGTCCATCTTAAATCTGAGTATCAACAAAATCTAGCAACCTTTCTGAGCAAGTCAGTTATATGTATAATTGGCTTAATTTTTTGCATTATTAAGAATTCATATTTCCTTGATTCTTTTTTCATAAGCTTACTTCCATGTGATACTATATCCACTTTCCTTTTCATTTTTGTATAACGTTTTCTATAGGCCCGATAGCGTTCTGTGTTCCCCTGACCAGTAAGAATGATTATAAACATGTGTAAAGGAGTCTTATAGCTGAATAATTGTATGATTTGTACATGTATGTTATTTATGTGTGAAGAACCTATAAAACATTTCTGTTTTATAACTGGATGTTTGTTTTGCAGTAAATTTATACAGAAGACAAGATAATGATTGACTGGAGAAAATGACATTTTGTGCTTCATAATTTGCATGACTGTTATGTGTACACATGTACATGTGTAGTTACTAGTATATGAAAGCAAAAAATAAATTTTAAGTGATAATTAGTAATACACATCTGTTAGTTGTCATTTAAAAAGAGAAAAATTAAAGATGAGATTTGATTTTAACAATGTGAACCAGTTAGTATGACTGTGTATAGGCAGTACAAGGCTCTTGATTTCTGAGTAAGTGTATGTATTCACCCCCTCTCCGAGAAACATGCCTGTCCAACTTATCTCAGAATGGAATGTTTTTATTATGTATTGCGTATAATTGTCCATAATCTTGACTGAGTCAATACAAAATGCATTTACCGTATAATCCCTATTAACCGCCCCTGTCCCTCTAAGTGCCCCCTTAGGTCTTTTTCAATTGTCAGGAAATAAGGGCCCCCTGTACAGTGATTAAAATCAAAAAGAATGTAATCAAAAAATTGAAGAAAGTGAAAAAGAAACTTGTTTATTGCCCAATATCTCAATGGAAAATGAAAATTTAGCATAATTTGGGTGGATAATCTTCACTTTCAGTAAAGTTAGACATTATGTTAGTGGTTCCTTGTATTTATTTTTCTTTTTTCAAAAGATATTTTGAACTTAAAATCTGACATTAAATATCATAAAGAGAATTCCAAAAATTCCCCCCTTTTTGCAATTTAAGTCTAAGCGCCCGGGGCTGTTAATAGGGATTATACGGTATATCTTGAATGAGTGCTCTATAGTGATATAAAGATACTCTTAAACATTTACAGTTAAATTAATGAAAGTTATAATCCATTATCAAAAACATTGCTGCTTCAACAAAATACACTGTACAGTGTACTGGTACACAAACTGTCCTTTTAAGGTTTCTGTGGTTCAAAGTTGTCATTGAAATACATGTAGTGGTGATTTTTAATAGTTTCATTGGCAGGGGAGAAAATGTGATGGACCAGACCAGGATTCAAACCTGGGCTTCCTAGGTCACGAGACATGCTGCTGTTTTACCACATGAACTGAGCAATATGGCCTTTGGAAATTTAGCTGACTAAAATATCACCATATTCCTCCTAAAAGGTCTTTGCTCCAATTGTGCGATTTTATGTAATGAAAATGAAAAAGGATTTTATTTTGGTTTTTGACTTATAATGCATTTATTACATGGTTTTATCAAATAAAAGAAATCGTTTGCCAAATAAATCTTTTCTCCTGATCCCCTCCCCCCTTTTTCAACCTAAGTTACCGAACTGCAGTATAATATTTGATTTTTACAAATTGAGTAAAATGATGTGTAGACTACAGCCTTTTTGTCTATATTTACTCTGTTTAACTAAGCAATGCATGCATATAAATTGATATTAAAAAAATCCGGAATTCCGAATTCTGTAGACATACCTTTCCAAATTAGTAAAAATCAAGATGGCGGCGCCCATGGGTAAATAACCAGCAGCATGACATGATTTTGATGACTGTAATGAACTAGATCCACATACACCTTGTAATAATTGAGGATTGCGTTTATGTAAGTTGTACGATTAATTCTGTAGTACTTTTAATTTAATCACAGGGACTCCTAACGATTCTAGTGGATCTGTCGACCAACCCATAACAGATCACCCCTGGCTTAGGTACAGTACATAATCAAACTGTCAAATAGAGCCTAGTGGGATGATCAAACAGAAAAAACAACAGCAAATTAATCTTAAGAAACCCATGTGGTTTAAATTAGAACGTTCTTTGAAATTAACATTTTCTACTAAAGTCAAAAAAAAAAAAAAAAATGACGCAAGCTCACAATTCTGCATCAGTGCATAGGAGAATCTTAGATTGATAATAATTATATCAACTTCTCAATAAGTAAGCTAATTACAATTTCTGATTTCTTTCAAGTGAAAAGGCTGCAGGAGTTTCTTGCAGTCATTATTCATATTAAGATTTTAACATGTGTAAGTGATGTTAATGATAGCAGCAGAAGAAATATTTATCTCAATTTTTTTAGCTCATGTACCCTCACAAGTGACATAAGTACTAAAGTAGTAATTTATGAAGTTGTAAACTACAATTACATGGTTGTTATTTATTACTATATAAGCAATCATTAATCAATTCAATTATGTTAATTGCACTTCTACAGAGTACACCAGTTAGACCAGACATACCTGTATTTTATAGCAGTCTGAATTTCTTTAGAATCCTAATTTGTTCAGTTCTTCAATACTGATTGAAATGAAAGAACAACCTGCAACATGAAAGTTCTTAAATTCACATTTTCTTTGCAGAATACATCTTCGCTAGCCAAATGTGCGATTCATTTATACCCTCATATTAGAAAGAGGAGGGTAAATGAATCGGACACTTGGCTAGCGAGGATGGGCAGAGTTGTATTTATGTTTCTTTTTTAATTTTACATATTTCATGTAATAATTATTCTGGAAGTTTTGAATTAAATGTACATAAAAATAGAATAATATGGAGAAAGTATGTTGTTATTCAACAACTTGATGTCATCTTTTGTTTAGCTTGTAAGAAATGGGTAAACAAAAGAGAGGCAGACAGAAATACCACAATGCAGCAGTAAAAATCAAAAATGTCCCCAAAGAGGAGGGGAAAACAGACCAGGAGGTAAGAAATGATTGCAGAATAAGTGTGGTTGTTTGTGAAGACAAGCAGGCACAGTCAATCAAGGATATCAGTGTAACTGACAGAAAAGAATGTCAATGATCATGTCATTTATTTAATTACATTGAACACTGATAAAAAATGTAAAATAAAAAGACTTGCAAATTTATAAATTAGGAATATTGCATCATTGGATACCCATGAGTGATCTCGCAGCATTTTTTTTCCCCTTATATAACTGGTACCGATAAACGGCATTGTTCCCAATGCAAAAAAACGTTAATTTTTCCCAATTCTGTGACTCAAATTCCCAATTCAACTGGGATGCAGCAGACTATGTTGAAATCGTATTTCTTGTTAAATGAAACATTGTACAAGTTGACCAATTGTTTCACTTCTGCTTAAATCAAAAGTAGAGAAAGTCGTAATTTGGCGGGACCTGTGGTTTCGACAGCGTAGTGTCATACATTTTGACAAATTGAAAGCATGAAAATGTGAAAACATGGGACATTGATATAAAAAACAATAAGTACTTGTTGCTTATTCTTTAAAACAAGGAATAATAGGTAATTAATTTGGAATAAACGCAAAAATGTTTCATTTGCATAAATGAGAGAAAATTCTCCTGTTTTTCTTTTATGTTATTTTTCCCAATTGAACCGGTACCGGACCCTTTCCCAATGGGTGGAAAAAAATCGCTGTCTCATCTTTTACTTAGGTGATAAGTATTTATGTGGTAAGTAAAAGACGAGAACACCTGTGGGTATCTGACGATGAGAGAATTGTGGACGTTTTAATCATCTGTGTGTGTGCTATAGTTGAACATGATTAAGAATTATCTACTCTATAAAGTAGTACATGTTGACATATATTTAGGAAATGGAAACCTCCTCCAATCCCGGTGTAGCTGCTGTGACAGGTAACATGTTTAAGAGCGTGAAGATTAGTGCCGAGGAACTGACCCAGAAGCTGCCCACTGACTGGGACACAAAGAGCGCCATCACTAGCACCTCACTGAAGGGGCTACAGCTGAAGAAGAAGGACAGGAAGAAACTCAGGAGGGAACTTCTGGTGCAAAGTAAGTCAAAGGGTAGTGATAGATGAAGTAGGGATAATTTAATAAAACTTTTGTTTTCTTCTTGAGAGGTATCTTTTTACATAAATACTTATTTAGATATTGTGCAATTATAAAACTGTTTCCCAAGAAATTACTCTGAGGCTCTGTTGCCAACAGGTGTGAAATGGAATAAAGTAAAGCTGCTGATTCCTTATTAGAACATTTGATAGTGGTCTGATTTATTGATAGAATTGGATGCAGTGGAGGCAGCAAAGAAAGCGGCCAAAGAGAAGAAGAGAAAACAGAGTACCCCTGTGGTGGGGGACATAGGATTGCTGGGAGAGGCCCTCCCCACACTGGACATGCTGCTCAAAAGTGACCAACACAAGAAAAAGTAAGAATACATGTATATATAAAAAAACTGGGGGGACATAGACTGCTGGGAGAGGCCCTTCGTACACTGGACATGCTGCTCAAAAGTGACCAACACAAAAAAAAGTAAGAGTACAGGTACATAAAAAAACCTCCCACCTACACATGGTTATTACACATGGATTCCAGCCCGTGAATTATTACCTCAATTTGACATAAACAAGGACATGTTTATGTTATGTAGCTTTTTACAATGTCTTCCAATACAGATTCAATGAATGGAATCTTATTTGAAAAGCCTTTTAAAACTAATTGGTAGTATTGTTGAATTTTTATAAAATCTAAATCAATATAAATTCTAGTCTGAAGTCTTCTAAATATCCTGAGTCACAGTCTTGACACAAAATGTTTTGCCTAGTACCTGTGATTAATACCATTCTATGTCAATGTTATTTAAGCAAGTTCAAGGACACCATATGGCTATGACTTTCTGACCTTTTTATTTTAGATGTGGTAACATATCTACCCCATTGTCAAGGTTATTCATAATCTTAAAATGTTTATGCATGTACAGCGTACTAGAATAATGTTTGTTCATAAAAAAGGATGGATCATAGTTAGCGATAGCAGTAGATCACTTACAAGTGTTTCCTTTTCAGGGAAAGTGGCTAGCAGGATTTTCAAGCATTTTTTGTTTTCATTAATTTTGTGAAAATCATACAAAAATCATGTGAAAAGTTCCAAATGTAATGTGAAAATTATTTTTTTTGGTGAATATCATGGTTCTTTTTGTCTCTTTCTCATGCAGAGCCTTTGAATGATATTTGTGCATATTTCCTATGAAGTTAATGCGAGCCACATTAACCCTGTGTAATAGGAATAGTGTTCAGAGTGTAAACAGAAAAAGAAATAGAAATTCTTTTCTTTTTCAGAGAATGTAATAAGGAAAAACCTCGTAGTATTTTGAAGGAGAAGAAGAGGCAAAAGCAGATGTGAGTACCATTAATTTTGTCTCGTATGTCAAGATAATGTATTATAGTATTCAGTAAAACATGGTGACATCCAACATGCCTAGGTCTGTCCATTCATAATGATATTCCAGTTTATTGCGATTTGTTGGCACAAAATATTGTATTGTGATACGTTTATCAATACATATGTACATGTACTGCAAAAATGCTTGGGCTTGAAATTTTTACTGTAAAATATGAAATTTAATTTGTCAGAAATTTTTTAATCATGCCAAAGTGTATGTTTGCTGTTTTATGGTTGTATTTTGAAATTCCTGTGAAATCAACAAAAAAATTTTTGTTTCAACTTGTTTATAACAATTATATAAGGCCAAAATAAAATTAAAGTTGTTTGGAATTGCCTCCCGCCTTATTGAAATGCCCCCTCCTGAAAAAAATTTTATTGACCAAAAGTAGAACGATTTTTTTTAATTTAATCAATTTTTTTGCCCATCACATGTATCACATGCACCACATAAAACATTGAAATATAGTGTCAGATCTATGTAAAATTAGGTTTTTCTGTTAATGGTAGATACTTTTTTTTTAAAAGTCAGAAAATGTATTTACTGTTTACTAAGACTTTTAACAAAAATTGAAAATTTATCTTAAATTAAAAAAAAAAAAAAATAATTTCCCTCCCTCCCTCCTATGTCTGAAACCCTTCAGGCGGCAGTTCCAAACAAACATTTTTTTAAGGATGGCCTAATGTGGGGTTAGTTAGATAAGAAAAGATCATTTTGTCTCTTATTGAAAAAAATGTGAATATGATGCATATCACAATTCTGGTAAAAATATAACAATACTGTATGTGTACATAATTTGGCTTATTCAAAATTTAGAGCAATCAAAGGATATAGAGTTGTTGGTGTAATCATGAATTAACACTACACATGTCTGTTCCGTATATTGTATTTACAAATGATTTCTTTATTAGCAGTATTCATGAATTATCGCATCATTGTCTGCACTAAAGGCACTAAAATATGTATTTTTAACTGTACAAATGCATATTGTGACATATGCTTCTTTTGACATTTAAAATTGGACCATTTATGCATTTTGACAATTTTTTTGATGTATGCATGAAGTGCAGAAATGTCTTATTGATTGTTGTCCAATCATTTGCAGCTTTTTTCTGTTTTGTCTTTATAAGGTTAAAAGACGTGGAATTATTTCATCAAGTTTACAGCCATCCATCTTATTCCAAGGACCCAAGGGCAACAATCCATGAACATTTACAAAACAAACTTAAACGGGAAAATCAGATGGAATCTTAGCACTGGAGAGAAGGGATTTAACCATTTTACCAGAATTATGCTGATTCCTCTGGGACACAAGAACCACATATACATGTATTTTGTAAAACTAGAGGAATATATTACAAACATTTACACATACCATTTTTTTAAAAATCTTGATTGTTTGTTTTAATTCTTTGCAATTTATATGTACTGTAAACATACTTTTTTCCACGGTGTCATAATTCCGCGGAATCTCAATTTCTGTTTATTCAGCGAATAGAAAAATACGCAGATTTCCTGGACAGTCACTATATGCCTTATATTTATATAATAATTTTATGGACAAATTTCCGCGGAAAATTTGTGACCGCGTACATAGCGTATTTTAATACCACGTGGAAAAAATACTTCTACAGTAATTTATCAAACTTCCCTCACTTATACAAATGTTCATGTTGCATTAGTAATGAATCCTGTGTGGGACATTCATGCCCTATGGACATATTTCTTTATTGCAGTAAAATGTTATATATTGTTTATTTTGTTACCTGTTGATACTGAAAAAAATATCAAAATTTTGGTTTCGAACAAAAATAAATATGTATGAAAAGCAGGAATCACGAGTTTCTCAATGCATATCCATCTTAGTTTGTAACTACAGAACAATCCCAGAGGAAATGAAGGTCACAATTTTGTTAAGGACTGATACCTTGCCGTCCATTTTTTTTTTAAATTTTCATGAGTAAAGATTAATTTCAAAGATCAGATGGATTTTCAAAGTATGGACAACGTATCAACAATAGGCAATACCTATTTAGACTTGAGGGATGAACTTCATAAGTTTTGGGGTAGTTCAAGGATATATTGACAAAACTGCAAATAAATGCGATGGGAATATTATTTTGTTTGCTTTGTTCATATGCTCATAATTATGCATGTATATACGTATAAACAAAAATCAAGAACATTTGACTAAATTTGAACACTCGTTGAAAATCATAAATTTTACGGGAAATTTGACTCTACCTGATTTTGAATAATATCAACAATACATTTGAAAAAAAAATGTGCATTTCTTTCGCAATAATACTATTTTATTACAGCATTAAACTTTGCTCAAACAAAATACAATACCCGTGTCATAAGACATGACTAAGTTAATATATCACCAGATTAAATTTTGTCAATGAATACAATACACTGTGCATTGGTATAGTGCATTACGGAGATCAAGCTGGTGTAAGTTTGAATCTTCATATTCCGCCAAGTTTCATACGTCCTATAAATTCCTTTTTATGAAATCTGAAATATTTTAATTATTAGATTTATCAATTTCCCGACACAGCGTAGCTACTTGAACTTTTACAGGCATGAATTTCAGAGGCACACCAAAAAGAAGGTAGAAATGACCAATTATACTTCCACAAGAGATCTATATGACCTCTCATAGGTCATATACATTCCTACATATTATATTTGAGCTTTTAAGGTATTCAATCCCTAATGGGAACAAATTCAGTGAAATTGAATACATAACTGATATGTTGGCATTGAATACTCAGTTTATTTAGACATATTTCCCACTTATTACTATTAGTATGTATAGTGGGATGTGTCCTAATTTATGACCTTGAGTTTTGGTAGAGTTATCTCCCCTTTTTTTAATTAATAAAAAAAATCAATTAAAAAAAATTTAGCTGGTAAAAAAATTGCTTTCAATCGCCATTCTATTTTTAATGTTTCAATGCATCTCTCCACCGCAGGATTTATTGATATTCAAATTATTTAAATTTTTATTTTGAAAAAACGTTTTTCCCCATAGACTTCAATGCAATCTTTGTTAATTAACTACTGCTTAATTAATGACATTTTAAAAACTTTCTCGCGGGCAATCCTTTTCCACTATAAAATGCTTTAATATAATATCAGTGTGTTATGTACTTGACGGACATTTAAGGGTAGGGAATTAGGTCCCATTAGGGATGGAAATCCTTAATTCCTTTTTATCGAAGATACATGTATGGCCTGGTATTTAGATCAGTGTTTTCCCTTTATTTGATAATAACAGGTACAAACGAAATTGATTTTATGTGATTTTTAATCCTTTTGGATGGATAGACAGGTAGAAAGATAGACTTCATCAATAGTTCATAATTTATACTGAATAGCCATTAAAATTGACAAAAATTTTCGAGGATCAAGCATACGAGGCCGGCGTTCCTTTACATAATTACTGAGCCTGTCCATTGTTTAATTTTTTCTGGTTATTGTTTTGTCAACCTCAACACTGCGACATATGGGGGTATCCATTGATTATTTATTTATTTTTATGAAAGGTTTAAGGTTAAGTACACCGAATTCATAGATACACTGAAGTATCGCTTCCATCACACAGTGATGAAATAAAAGTATATCTTCTATCGCACATTTAGCGATGAAATATTTTTCTTCATCCATGATTCGCCGAAAGAGATTGTATTTTACTTTACTATTGATGTTATATCCTTTCATGTGTTTTTACTTCTGGTCATCGGAAAAGGGCATTTCAGTACAGGAGTTAGAGTCCATTACAAAACAGACAAACCAACAGACAGTATCACAAGTGTTAAAGAGAAAGGCATACTTCCATGTTAGCAGGGACGAAGGTCCAGGTAAGTTAGATCATGTTTCAGGCTTAATAACCCTTGCATCCAGGTCTTGTAAAAGGACCCTTTCCCAATTGAAAATTTACTTCCCCCCCAAAAAATTAAGGTAAAAAATTCCCAAAATGACACGCAGGCTGAATTTTTCAGTGCAGTTTTATTAAAACAAACTTGAATTTTGACATTTTAATGATTCATACAGGTGTGAACAGGGATTCAGTCTTCAAACTCTTTATTCAACTTTTTAACATATTGTCTAACCTCAAAATTTCCCAATTTTACCACTTTTTCGATTTGAAATTCCCAATATTGGAAGGGTACAGGACCCTGTGCCAAAAATGGTCAATTAAGAAATGTGTGTTGAAATAGATGGATGCAACCATTTCTGCTAGTGTTCCTCACGCATGCGTAAGTTGTAAGGTTAACAGGGACTGCTTACTCCTCCTAGGCATCTTATCCCACTTCTGGAATCCCCGGAGGTCCGTGTTTTGCCCCTTTCATAGATGTCTGTCGATAATCTTAAACTTTTTTATTTATGTTTCCTGCAAAATGTGCATAAAATTTATGAAGTAAATTCACACGCGAATAAAAAATATGGAAAATGGCGATTTCTTTTAAACCTTTGCTTACTCCGTAACTTAAAATCAATAGTTATTTTGTAATAGGGCTGACAACAGGTTTTTATTGATGAACTATTGCATTGTTCTTTGAGACGCCACAAACCATGGGTCAAAAAGGGGTCTTTGTCTATCTTGCTCTTTATGCCACTTCTGTCACCTCTGATTGTGGATTTGATATGGTGTGTTATCATATGAAAATGTGTAAACAAATATGAATTTCTTACCTGATCATCGACATCTGACCTCAAAATCAACAAGGACTCTTTAATAATTATTCTTTAAAGTAGTATAGTCTAAAAGTAAAAAAAATCCTATGAATTTTAAATTTTGACCTCCTGACATTCACAGAGGTCTTTTTCAACAAATAGACCACCATTGAGTACACCTTTTCATAGACAACGAGAAGAATTTTGGATTAAAAACTAGGGACAGACTTTCCCTACGGATACAATGAAAATGTTGATAGTGTTGGGAATCTTTCCAGTCCACAGTGTAACAATGTCAATGTGATGAGACTTTTTAATCTGCTACACAGAGACGTTAACGTAGTCATTAGCATCGGTTTTGTAATAAACGCTGTCTCTTTTCATTCGTTACTACGCATAGTCTTGTATTCCACCACATTTCAAGTTAAAGGCCGCACTTTGTTTTTCCTACAAATATAAATTGACTATTGCTTTCAAACTTTTTAATTACAAGAAAATTTTACAGGTCCTGGATATCGAGTTTCTTAAACATTATTCATGCTCTTCTTCGCCCTATAACTATAGTCCTACTGAACTCATTATTACAGTGAAGGATATGGAGATAACGAACAGTATTAAATATCAAAGTCCATAAAACAATACAAAATAGGAGCAGAGCAAACATGGACCTCCACATCAGAGGTGGGATCATGTGTCATGACGGAGTGAGCATACCCTGCTGACTGGTCACACCCGCCATGTGCTCCTTGTCATCATCGGGAAATAACGGGCAAATCCGTCGTCAATTCATTGTATAAATAATGGACTAAAAATTGGTATGAAAAATTGACGTCAGTCAGTGTTTGACTCAATGATAGATTGTGTTTGCTGACAAGGTCATTGTATCAACCAAAGAACTTATGAAATGATGACTTTAAATGAGACTCCTGAAATTTTTGTTTCATCATCTTGTTTTTCAATAATTTTCAATAATAAGCATGCTCTTACGTATCGAATAATCTGAGAGATATCAACGCCGTATGCAGCTGATGAAGGTATATTGCTGCAAAAGTAAGGGAAGTTGACGATAGAAAGTTAAAGTCATCACGTATGTCATAGAGCTTGCTTGTTAGATTACCATTAACGTCTTTTTCAAGTAAAATATCCAAGTATGAAACATAAGTGTCATGCAGACTCTGTGGTATCTTTTATCTCAAGCTCATCAGGATATGTTATATCGACATAGGAATGGAAATTACCATTGTTAATTGGCAATACGTCGTCGATATATCTAAATGTTGAGTTGAGGACCACAGCTAGAGTTTTTTTTCTTTTCACGCATAAGATTTTGCAAAAATTCTGCTTCATATGAATACAAAAATAGGTCTGCTAACAACGGAGCGCAATTGGTACCCATGGGAATTACAATAGATTGTTGGAAGACCTGGTCTCTAAAAAACCACATACCGGTAGATATTGTCAATCAGAAACTCAAGCATCTTTTTGATGTCGACTTCAGAGTACTTGTGTGTCAATCAGAATGCGTTTTAACAAAATAATTTTGCAAATGACCAATGACCAAGTAAGTAAATTTACCTGTTCCATTTTTATTGAAAAAGCTGCTGTCAATGATATCAAAAAGCCTGGACTTTAATTTATCGTGGGGAATGGTTGTGTATAAAGTTCAAAAGTCGTAAGTTTTTTTAAGCTTTTAATTTTGGTAAAATCTTGTGATTTCAAATTGTCCAAAAGTTCTTTGGAATTTTTGAGTATCCACATCTGATTCACACCACTTCTTGAATATATTGTTGCACAATTCTCTCGAAGGTGACGTAAATATAGTTAATAACGAGGGCCTTAGATCACTTATTTGAAAAGGTCATAAATATAGGCAACACCGATCCTTCAACTAGCGTAATTTCATAAATATTATGGATTCTGTAGAAGATTACGCCAGGCGATGGGCCAGCCATGAAAAAAAAAACCTTGGCACTTTGTTAGAATGGATTGAAAGTGTCAGAAGTATATTGAAATCACGCATTAAGCAATTGAAGGGCAATATGAAAGCCATCTATTAGTATCTTTCTCTATTCAATAATCCAGAAGTGAAAAAAGAATTAGATAGATTACATGATCAGTACGTACTGGTGCCTGCTGGCAAAGCAGGTTACAACATCGTCTTTATTTGTGAGGCTAACAATATAAAATGTATTTTAGAGGAACTTGGATTTAATTCTACAAGTGGTAATCTAACATATACTCATAGCTCCCTTTCTAAGGAGGACATTGCTCAAAATCATAGGTCAGTTTTGAATATTGTTAATATTTTAAACAACCAAACTGAATTTGAATTACCATTTCTATATAAGATACCGAAACTTCATAAGAATCCTTACAAACAAAGATACGTAGCGGGTTCCAATAAATGTTCTATCAAGCCTTTTTCTTTACTCCTCAAAAAGATAATTAACAGTAGCGATGGAGAAACTTCAAGAGTAATGTTCAACAATATATACCCCGGTATGGGCGAAGAAAAAACATGAACACGAGGGATGATTATGAATCAGGGGCTCAATATCTGGGTGCTATAGAGTTTTCTTATGTTAAAGAAGTTTGGAAGCAGCTGTCGTTGTATATTTGTAAGAAATACAAGTTGTGGACTTCAATTTGAAATACGGTGGAATGCAAGAAAGGGTCCTTTTGCAATTTAGAATATAATTTGTGTTTTCAACTTCTTTCTTGTATATTTGTAAGAAATACAAGTTGTGGACTTCAATTTTCAAAATTTTCATTACCGAAATACCGCTACAAAAAACCTTACGGACATAAAAAAGTATACATTACCGCTACATTGCCTCTTTCGTTAGCCAGCCACTTATGCGTGTACAGTACAACCTATACATGTGCAATTTACCACGGGGAATATAATTTGAACAGGATGGGTTTTTTAAAATTAAAATCATCAAATAATTCGTCGAGGTCTGTTTTGCAGCTGCTTTTGCAACTCTTTTCAACGTATCCCCACAATTTTGAGTTTTTGAAAGTCTTATTTTTTTTTCTAAATTTATAAAAAATCGATAAGTAAGCCGGCATTCCCTCGATTTGTAACAAACTTCTCAATGGTGGCCATAATGTTCAGATGACGCTAAATAATTAAATTCCGACTGCAGAGTTATTTATATATATGTACTCAATCTACTCATTCTGATTAGATAGTGAAGGAATTCTGTTGATTAGAACTCATGTAAACCAAACTATGCCTGGCTAAATCGATATGTAGCGGTAATGAGTTGTTTTTGGCTGATTCAGTATGTAGCGGTAATGAGTTGTTTTTTGCCGGAAAATGTAGCGGTAATGATCGGTCGAAAATCTGACAAAATGTAGCGGTAATGAGTTGAAAATTTTGGCAATGTAGCGGTAATGTTGACCTCCCTCTTTTTCGAGAGGTGGTGGTTTAAAGAGCAAATGTCTTTCAATATCCGTAATCTCAGATCCGAGCCTGCATTCTGGTGTCGAAAAATTGAAATATATTAACTATACTTGACTTAAACCAAAGTCTTATGTATGCGTACGTCTCTGCTGAACAAACTAATTCCAATCAAATATATTTAATTGATTGCAAATTTAAAGTATAGATTTTAAAAGTGCACATTTATTATAATGATTGAGAAGGAAAGATATACCCACATTCTGAAAGATATACCCACATTCTGAATGATAATCTTTATTTTTGTCAGTTTGAGTTGAAAAGGAGAATTTTATTTTGAATTGTTCAATTGATCATGAATACAGGAACATGTATGTTCAAAAGTATTATTGGTATAGATCAAATATGTATTTATACTATTGTGATTTTTAATCATCAGCTGAAAATGAAATTAGAAACATAGGAGAAATTCTCGAGAAGCAGAAGCGCTTAGACATTCACGTTTGAAGACTGGAGATGTCCCTTTTTTGTTGGATATTATGCACAACCAATATAATGTTTAAATAATTGTATGTTAATAAATGTATATGTATATCCCTTCAGTGTTATATGAATATCTTTATTTTGTACTTTCGTAATTTTGTGCAAAACAAAAATAAATTTCAAATGATTTTTTGTTAAGTGTATGATCTACTTCTTTGCTTATTCATGCACTGTGTTTAGAATTAATTAAATTTGCAGCAGATGCATTTTTCCCATGACGATCATAGACAAGATGCCGAATTTTGTTGCTTTCAAATATTAGTTTATCTCTCCAAAAGCTGTGTGAGGGATACCAAGATTGATTGGAAGATAAGCTCATTTCAGACCACGTTTTATCAAAACACAGCTGTGGTATTCATTACATTCTTATATAATTTGCATGGTAGGGCTTATAATACGAGTTGTTATTTTTCATATATATGTGAATATGATTTACTACCTATTCTAGACAGATGGACAGCTGCTTCAATCTTGGCCACATAGCTATGCGTCATCTCCTTCTTTGTATTGTTGCTGAAATATATGGAGATAACGAACAGTATTTAAGATCAAATGTGTATAAAGCAATACAAAACAGGAGCAGAGCAAACACGGACTTCCAAAAACATCAGAGGTAGGATCAGGTTCCATGGAGGAGTGAGCATCCCCTGCTGACCGGGTCACACCCGCCGTGTGCTCCTTGTCATGAACGGGAAATAACGGAAAAATCCGTCGACAATTCAGTATGTACGAGGGTTGATCCAAAAGTAATGTCACTGTGTCCATATCTTTAATGTTTGGCGTCATATTATCAAATACAATATACCAAAAGATGCACAATCATAAATCCAATTAACATTGAAATTTTCATCTAAGAATATTTAAATGAATTTATTTTATAAACGTTTAAAACAAAGAACATAGGGGGTGTCGCCGCGTCACACCCAAACGTCACGAATCAAAGTGTACTTTTTAAGAATGAAAAAGATAAACACATTAACTAAGCATCTTTACAAAGCACCTTATCACCCAAATTTTAAAAAGACAAAATTTACAATATTTTCTAGTCTTAAGTTGAAAATTAAATGACACCATTGCTATTTTTATCATACACATTGTTGTTTTACTTTGATGCATTGATCAAAGGAAATGTCGAAATGGAAGAAAATCGCCACATTAGTGACAACAAACTGTAATGCATTTTTGCTTTAAAATCGGGAAATCGGCAGTAGAGACAGTTGGGTTGATTCATAAGTCTGTCTCACAGAGGAAAGGATGTAAATGAAAGAGTTGTTCAGATGCATGGTTTAACCGATTTTGGATGGTTGATGGGTCATTGAATGCTCAGCAGATGACAAGAAAACCGAAAGAGGGGAGGGTGGACTTAAACGGCTATTGCATGTGACGTTGTCAAAAAAAAGACAGACAGTTAAAATGAAATGTAAAATTATAAGTTTGTCTTATGCAAATTACAATTTTTTACAGAGGAATTAATGAGGAAAAAGTGAGCTTACGAGGCCTACCAAGAATTCTTTAAAAATTGAAATCTGTGAATGTGTTTGCAAATCTCAAATTTTTATTTGAAACGAAGGGACGCGTTGAAAGTGTATGACAGTGCGTATCCGTCATAATTATGACATTATTTACGTGCGGCGACTACCATTATCACACGTTATATATAATCCGATATCTTAAAAAGTATAAATCATGTTGAATTGAAATTTTCAGGTCTGATTTGAAATAAATGTAGCTTCCACGATTGAAAATTTTGTTGTTTTAAGTCGACTGATAGCAGTTTCATCGAAGTCGTGACATTACTTTTGGATCAACCCTCATAAATAATGGCCTAACATACTTAAGTATGAAAAACATTAGTCAGCATTAGACTTAAAGATTGTATTTGCTGACAAGGTCAATGTATCGACCATAGAACTTCCGAAATGATGACTTTAAACGAGACTGCTGATATTCTTATTTTCAGCAACTTGTTTATCAATAACTTACCTCGTTTTAAAAGTTGGTTCATACGTAGAACATGCTCTAGATTGCGTAACTGAGATATATAAACCTAAAATTCCCATACTCATGCAGCAATATACTAGTACCCTAATCAGACTATTCAGACTGTGGACTATTCTAAAAAAAAATGCCACAGCAGAAGTTTAGTTATTTTCATGTAGAATGTATTTAATAAATTCTACAGTAACTCCGTAGGAATATAAAGATATGTCTGCTGAAAAAGTGCGCAATTCGTACCGAAGAAAACATGATCTCTAAAAAGTACAAATTATAAATACTTTATACACTACAAAACATAGCTAATGTAAACGGTTGTCTCACCACAAAAACAGTTAAAGAGCTTTTTCCCCCAGGAACTTCTGCTAGATTTAACCCAAACCCCTGAACTAAAATTCGTACCTGTCCGCATTACGTCACTAGAAACACAAAAATGTTCGCAAAAAATGAAAGACGAGTTTTTTAAGGAGTACCTTTTATTCATTTGATGACATCCTAAAGGAATACATGTATTTCCATGATCCATCCTCTATTAATGCTAGGCCTGACGTGTTGGAATATAAAGTACTAGTAAAGGAAGTGAAACTTATAATTCCTGTACTCGTTTTATTGTAGGACACAATGGCACAGGGGTCACAATCAAAGAGAGTGACCTTTCAGGAGATGACCTTCGCCAGTATAAAAGAGGGTACGAACTGTACTTGTACAATTCTTTCGTCAGTGATTTCATCTCTTTGCACCGGAATTTCCCACCAGATATTCCAGAAGAAGGGTAAAAATTCTTATAATAATCATATGTATCCAGATACTATTGTTTTTTCTAGAGTATACAGGGAAAGGGGCATCCTCAGTCTTTTGAAGTACATATATGTATCGATTCAAATAATGAGAATACTAAACTAATATAATATTTAACATGTTATTTCTACATTTGCAGGTGTTATGATATTGAATATGACGCCAATTTACCGGAAGTAAGCGTCATAATTCCATTCCGAAATGAGGGTTTTACTACATTACTAAGAACAGTGCACAGTGTTTTAGACAAATCTAATTCTGATTTTCTCAGGGAAATTATTCTGGTGGACGATGGATCGAACCTGGGTAAAAATCTACATAGCACCATACAAACAATCAGAATCGGTTTAACACTCAATGTTTTACCAATATTCCAAATTGAAAACATATCCATTAAATTTTGATGATAAAATTTTATTTTTATAGATGATTTGAAATCTAAACTTTCTCGGTACGTTTCATACCTCCCAAAAGTGATTCTTATTCGATTACCTGAAAGTAAGGGGCTTATGACGTCACGACAAACTGGCATAAACCATGCAAAGTCTGACGTCATCATCGTCATGGACTCTCATTTAGAAGTAGCACCAGGTAAAAAAAACTACTATCCATAGAACTGTTATTTAGAATGAGGGTAATATAAACAGTACGACATTGAACTCTGGTCACGACATTTTCCAGACTTTTTACAAACATTTCTAATTGTGATATGTCCAAATAAGTTTATTTGAAGTACTTTGTGGGATTTCCAAGCAACTTATCATATAGTGCCTTCTTCAGCTCGAAGACATGTCTATTTTTAAAGATATCTAAATCGGAGAAAATATCCCATCTGACATTTTTACTCCCATGGGAAAAAGGTGGGATAGTTGTTAGGACTAAAAATCCCACTATTCTCCCATGGAAATTCTGACTTTTAGGTCTTCATATCTTTGAAAAATAGACATGTTTGTGAGTTCAACATGACACCATATGATACTGCTAAGAAATCCCACCAAGTGTTATTTATTTTTGGCAGTAAAAAGTCGATCTGGACAATGTTAATAGATGATTTACAGTCTAAAAAAAGATTAATGGAGATCGCTTTTTCTTCCCTCTCTATTTTACAAGTGTTTTAGTAACATTGTTGGCATGTTTTACAATTACAGGCTGGTTGGAGCCCTTACTACAGAGAATAAAAGATGACCCTAAAGTCATGGTCTTCCCGAAAATGGGCTCAATCAACGGTGACACTTTTGAAATCACGAACGGCAAGCTTTCTGACCCGGTATACATGGTCACATTTGATTTCTACATGGCGGAAAATCACGTGCCGACTAAATCTGAATATCTGAAGAGTCGACCTCACCGACTTGCTCCAATCAAGTACTCATGATTTTGGCTTAACCCTTGTGATATAATCAGTATAAATATCAAATTCTAAAACTGAACTTAGTGGAAGAGGTGGAGATAATAGAATAATGATAATTATATATGGAGATAACGAAGAGACGTGGAATCAAGTACCATTGAGGGTTGAGCATCCCCTGCACTGGTCACACCAGCCTTTTCAAGATCGGGAAATAACGGAAAAATTCGTCTTCAATTCAGGGTGTATTTAATGGCCAAACAATTAGTGCTTGTATGAATTAGTCAGTCAGCATTTAAATTAATGATAGATTGCTTTCGACATCATTGTATTGACCATAGAACTTATGAAATGATGACTTTAAACGAGACTGCTGATATTCTTGTTTCATCAACTTGTTCGTCTATAGTTTACCTCGTTTTAGAAATTGTTCATACGTAGAGCATGCTCTCGCGTATCGAATCAATTGAGAAATATAAACTTCATATGCAGGTGATGAAGGTATATTGCTGCATAAGTAAGGGAAGTTGACAATTGAAAAGTTTAAGCCATCACATTTATCATAGAACTTTGTTGTTAGATTACCATTAACGTCTTTTTTCAAGTTAATATATCGAAATATTAGACAGATATATCAGACTGTGTTGTACCTTCTATTTTGAGCTCACTGGTATACTGAGTATGTCATGTCGACATAAGAATACAAATCAAACTCGATCACGATTCCAGTGCAGAATCCAGTGAATATTGAAGAACACGGATAAATGTTAAACCGAGTCAGGTTACTGACAGATAAGTTGACGCTACAGAAATTTCAACAATCTTTTTTAAAGTTAAAATGTTGTTGATTTTATTTTACCTTGTTAGATAAAACATTAAGTAATGTGAATTTAGGTCGTAATTTGGATGTTGTTCCAAATTTTAGACTTGTTTATGCTTACAATTTGACGACGAAATATTCCGCTGAACTAAAGCTGAAATATTGCCGACCCAGCGTTAAACAAAAAAAAACATGATCAATCTAATAAGATCTATCTGATGAATACTTAGAGCCCTCGGCAGATGTGTTCGGGGAAGGCTCCCTCTTCCTAAGCATCCGTTTCTAATTCTTTTGGGTGCATATTTTAATCCCTGTTTATAGATTTGTATTTTTTATTAATTTTTTTAATAGTTCGATCACTATTCATTATCTTCACTTTCCATTAAGAGAAATAAACACAACATTTGATGGCACAAATGTCACAAATAGAGAATAAATCAAAATGTTATTTCTTGGTATTTTGTCTTGTACTCAAAGTCATGTTTAGAGTCGGTATACCTTGTATTCAAAATCTTGCTTAAGAAACCAATGGAACCATTATTTTCTTGGATGGATGACTTATAATATAGTACATGGCCTGTTTTGAGAAAAAAGACATTGATTGTTAAACGTTTTGCTCGCGTCCTTAAAAAAAATGTTCCAAAAATCTTGATAGTTTTAGCATTTGTGCTAGGACTGTTGGCTTTTTTTTTTAAAAATAATGAAAAATTTATATCATTTTCTTTAGACAAAGCTGAATTGTGAAAATATTATCTCTGTTTAGGGCACCCGGTATTCAGGGTATGGCTTTTGCAATCAATAGGACGTATTTCCAGAGTCTTGGGGGGTTTGACCTTGGAATGAAAGTCTGGGGAGCTGAACAATACGAACTTTCCATCAAGGTCAGTCAATCCATAGAGAATAATTCAGTTACCTGTTAAAGATCTGCCAAAAAAATATGTCAAATGAAAAATATTGTACATTGTAATTGAAAATTATACTTTTAAAAAACATGAAAAAAAGTCTTTAACTAATAATAAACAAGTTTGCATTCATATACTTTTTCTTTACGACCTGCATTGAGCCTCTGTATTGTAAACCATTCATTTACTCCCCGAGCATTGTCTCAACACCTCTTTTAAAACTTTACCGAGGATACATCAATTTCCAGTTTAGTTTGTAGTGCAGAATAAAACCATTGTAGGAGGTCCCGCTAGAAATTGTCATTTATATGTTCAATGTATGTCATTCAGAATGATATTTAATGGTATATAAGTAGGCGTAATCGCTTCAAACTACCACGAAAACAAAGTTTCGGATTTTTAAAATGAATTTTTAGTAGGTGTGGCAATGCGGTGGGTCAGTGGAAATGATACCATGCTCCAACGCTGCCCACTTATACCGGAACGTGGCCTGGGTAAAAGATCTGAACAAGGCGAAGACGAACAACAACGATAGAGTCATCGGCGTCTGGATGGATGAGTACGCCAAAGTGTTCATGGAAATATCAGGAAAAAAGGCAAGTAGAACTGTTGCTGGCACTCGATATTGTTATAGAATTGATTGTGTTCAACTTTGAATCAATATAGCCTGTTAAAAACAGTTGCTGTAACTTCAGACATATGTCATTTGAGAAAATAAATCGGTATATTTACTTGCATTTGTAAAAGCTTTAGCTATTCTTTTGCCCCTAGGCCCCATTTGGATTGCCACTGGAATGGAGCAGTAGTGCAATAATAGTTCATGGCCATATATCTGTAATAGCCCATATGCATGTTTAAATGATATTGTTTTTAAATTCGCGATATCATATTCAAATGTCGTAGGTAGGTCATTTGTTTCCTAGTCTTGGAATTTTCTAATCTTCATCAGTCATGAACAATAACCCTTTTTAAAACAGACCCTTTTTATGGGTTCTTTCGCTATGTGAAAAAAATATAGGTATAACAAAGAGTATCCAAACTGAAAGTCCGTTTAAACAATACAGATCGGGGGCAGAGAAAACACAGACCTCCAAGAGGCGGGATCAGGTGGGATGGAGGAGGAAGCTCCCCTGCTGACCGGTAACATCCGCTGCTGACCGGTAACATCCCCTGCTGACCGGTAACATCCGCTGTGTGCTCTGCATTGATCAGGAAAACCGAAAAATCGGTAGTCATATCAATTTGTAAATAATGGCCTAACAGTTAGTATAAAAACGTCAATCAGCATATGGCATTTTGATAGCCTGTATTTGCTTACAAGATCATCGAATCGATCCTAAAACTTCAATCAAAGTACTCAGAAGTACAGAGAGCCGGGCTCATTTACAGAGTAGAATGAATTTCTTACATGAATCACGTTTATATTTTGATGAAAAAATTATTTTAAAACTATCAATATAAATGGTAAGACACTGACAGTGAGTTTTTCAATCCTAATACCACGGTCCGATTTTGTCAGAATCAGAATGTTTCTGGTACCGCAGCTGAATGTAAACAAACAGGCCAGTCTGGTTCCCTCTCCTGCTTTACCTCGCATGTGTAGAGAACTACGATAACACTGAATCAAAAATCAAAGATCTTCACGCTAATATGTTCTTTGACTTAGGACTGAAGTTTTCAAAAGTCATTACTACTAATGTTTATTTATATAGATTAAACTTCGTTTTATTTTTGTTGCTTTATTTAGCGTTTGTATTATCTCAAAAGCGGTTGAGAGTAAAATTATATTTTTGCACGTAACTTTAAAATGGCGACTATGGGGTCAACTTCCTGCCTTGAACAGAATGACATAAGCCGGCAATTGCTCTTTGAGCAATAAGCCCGGCTAAAAATGATGACTTAATTCAAATGAGACTGGTAATATCCTTGTTTCATATAAAGTTGTTGCAGTGTCTTACGTTTCTATTCAGCTGAGAGGCATAAACACCATATGCAAGTGATAGGTATATACATGTACAAAAGTAAGGGAAGGTGACACTTTGCAGGTCATCCTTGCAATAACAGGGGTCTGAGTCAACACGTTGCCGTTGGATCCCTGGCAAATTTCATTCAAAGTTTATGGGTTGATTGTAGCGATGTCTATCGAAAAAATACAAAACTTGATTGTTTTTCTTAACTTATCATTAATTATTTACAAAACTATTGTTTTTCTTATCTTATCATTAATTGTATATACAAAACTATTTTTGTTTAAAACATTCTGATTGCACACACATGTACTCTGCTGTTGGTTGATATTGAAAAGATGCTTGAGTTTCAAACAATCTGTTGAAACTCTAATTCGTACCAATTGCGCCTCGTTATTACCAGATAGTTTTATTCATATAAGTAGAATTAGTAAAATTTTATATATGAGAAGAAGAAAACACTTGCTGTGGCATTCAACTCGAAATAAGGATATTATCCATCAACGATGGATACTTTCATTCTTATATGTCGACTCGATATGTCCCAGTTAGCTGGATATGAAAGATATACCACCTATTTTGACATATCTGTTTCACATTTGGGCATAGCGCGGATCTAGAACCGGGGGGGGGGTAGCCCCCCCCCCCCCACTTTTTTTCCAAATATATACTTAGTATAGACATAGAACATATCTTCGTAGGTTTAGCCCCCCCACCCCCCACTTTCCACAGATAGTATAGTCTTAGTATAGGTTAAAATGGGGAAAGTGGTGGTGTTTGGAAAAAAATTTGGTACTGAAGTTCACCTCTCTCCAATGAAGAATATCAAGAAAAGTCTCGTTTTAAGTCATCATTTCATATGTTCTACGGTCGATCCGATGACCTTGACAGAAAATAGATTTATCATTAAATCAAATGCTGATTGACAATTTTCCGTTCTAAATGTAAGGCCATTATTTAAAGGTAGATATGTCCACGGATTTTACCGTTATTTCCCGATCAGGACAAGTAGCTCACAACGTGTGTGACCGGTCGGCAGAGGATGCTCACCCCAAAGGCATCGGAACTGGGTGGCTAGAGGGAGCTTAGCCCCCCCTTTCTTTTTGCAGAGATATACATAATATATACATTGCACATTTGGGTGTAGGTTTAGCCCCCCCCCCCACCCATACACACACTTTCAACAAGCATGTTTCAGTTAAGATCTAAAATAAAAGATATTTGATAGTGTTTTGGAAAGAAATTGGTACTGAAAAAATTGATCTTACCCCCCCCCCCCCCACGACACTTCATTCCACTTCTGAGGTTTTATGGGTCCACGTTTGCTCTTCTCCTGAATTGTATTGTTAAAATGGACTTTTGAGCTGGAATACTGTTCACTAACTACAAACTAGTACATTCAATTTCAAAGACCGTTTCTAGAGTTTTGTACATACGTATTTTTATTCTATTTATAACAGGAACTCCAGAGTGGAGACATCACAGAAAGACTGATGATCAGAAAAAAGAACAACTGCAGATCCTTCCAATACTTCCTAGACACTATACGACAATATGTACACTATTATGTTCCCGAAAACTTAAAGGCCAAAGGAATGGTAAATTTAAATGTACCTTTTATACTCTCCGTTTCAGTGTAGACTGTCTCCTCTCGTCATATCTGATAATGAAACAAATGAAAACTATGGCACGCCGATTGGTTCAAAATTATTTTCTGCACGACCTTAAACAAAAATTACACGAGTAAGTAAAAACTTACACAAAGTGAGGAAAGTATACACAAAGTTATTGAAATTTACACAAACTACAGAAAAACTACACAATCAACAAAATATTTACACGATATAGTGAGAAAATTACACAAACATAAAAACGAAAACTGCACGAATACAACATCGACATAATATACGACGCATCCTCATTGCGCACATTTCATTAATATTCATTAGAGAACAGCTCAGGGTGGCTCGGATGCTTGAAACCTATAAATTTATCCTAAAGGATGAGTAACGTGTTAGTAATATTTATTTAATCTTTTTAAAAAGGATTCAGTCTTTTAGAATTCCGCTAGACTCTCAAGAATATGTACAATGTGTTTTATGCATGTATAAATTTACACACAATCTTAAGTATGGAATATGAAGACCCCCGATTAAAAACATTCTATACATGTATAAATAACGTAAAAGGGATGCATATTACCAGATGTGTGTTTAATTGTTAGATTTTTAAATTGTGTCATTCCTCTATCATTGTCTATATAGCAATTTCTTTTGAAAGTGTAAAACATTGATATAGTAAAGGTCTTCATAAAATTAATAAAAACAGCATTTGATGTAATACAGGGCAGTTAACAACAAATCAAACTCTTCTCCTCCACCACCCACTGTGTGTACGTCGGTAATAATTAAGGATGTGGATGCGTGACCTTTTCGTACAGAGAGAACCCTCCCTGCTGGTGAAGGAATGAAAGACACCTGTACGCTAATCGATTTATAGTTATTTGACACATCAATAGTACCTTTTGATTAAGGATTACTAGCAATTCATACAGAGATTTTGAAGCATTGTTGCGATCATCTGGGTTGTGGAATTTGACAGAAAACTTTTTGGAAATAAACAGTAAAAAATAAAAATAAGGCAAATAATTGCGCAACTTTAAGTTTTATATTGAAACGATCGAATATAATTATTTATTTTTTTTATATATAATTATGTATTTGACAAAGTAGAACATGTAGTCTTTAATTTTGAACAATGTGTAGTGATTTCATAAATATCCATGTAAATGTAGAAAATTGTATGTAAATTGTAGTCGTTTTAGTTATGTGAATTTAAGCTTAATATATAATGTTTTTTTTATCGAGTTTGGTTTGAATAGGTAAAATGCATATAAAGGAGTTAAAACAATTTAAAATTATGATAAACAGACACAGATAATATCGGTATATCATCACTTTTAATAGTGGGGAGGGGGTTAGAATTTTTTTTTGACAAATTACCTGAAAAGTCTAATTGCATGACAAGCGAAAAAAAAAAGGCGGGGGGGGGGGTGTCCAAACTAGAAAATCCTATTTCGTTGAGGTAGTGAGGCACCTTAAATATTCCACCTTCTTTTCGAAACACATAAGCATATATTACTTAGATTTAAACTACCAAACAAAAAAAGGGGATGAGGCTTTTCAGTGGATATTTACGATAGAAAAAGGTTATGTTTGCCAAAGAAAAGAAAACGAAAAGGAGGAGGGACATGCCCCTCCTGATGCTACTAGCTAAAATATTTTTCTATGAATTTAAGCGTACATGAAGTAGTCGATCGAAATCAGGATTGCAATTCAACCTAAAACTGTAACGATAAATATTATAATTTACCGTCCATATCCTGGAATTTGCGCTCGACCTAACAACATTTAAAAATTGAAGGTTAGGGGGTCAACCAGGATATAAGGAATATTTACTGTTGAAAAGTCTATAATACTCAGAAAAAAGTAGGGAGGAGGGGGGACTTCTACAGGCCCGTTTGCCGATTAATTTCATTTTATGATTATACAGTCATGTTCTTGTTATACTGGCCATAGATTTGGGTTGAAAAGTGTTATTACAAAAAACTTAAATTTAGTGTTTGGGAAATAAATTATTAAAATTTTATGAATACGAATTCTAAATGTAAAGAGAATTTGTTTTCTTTGAAAATATTTGCAAAAATTGTGCTCTATTTAGAACATAATTTATTTGCATTTTTCAAGAATGATAAAACAAGTTTTATTTTCTTTTCATTTATTATCAAACTGCAGTATCCATTCCCATTTTATTGATGACATTGTATGTAGATGTATTTAGTAATTCACAAAGTTTTAAAAGTCTTGGTGTGTCATTATGGTCCAACGATTTGAAACTTAAATAAATTTATACTGGGACTCCAATCGGTCAACGAGCCAGGTCCGCCACTGATCATGTGTTTTTCCATAGCCAGGATTATTTGAGTAGAGTTTTGTTATTTCATTTGGACAAATTTAATTAACAAAAAACAAAAGCGCATGTACATAAAGTATATAAGTATATTCTCCGTTTATCTGGTCCTTTTTATCAAAAATAAAAACATTTATTATCAAGTAATCGCCATTGCGAATGAGGGCAACGCTTACAAGAAATATCTTGTTTTTATTTCGAAGTTTATAACTGAAAATATGAAATATTATGGAAAAAATCATAACAAAAAGTAGGCTACAGATATCCAACCAAAATTGATATCGGATATTTTATAAGTTTGGATACATATGTAAATAGAAATAAAATATTTTTATGTTTGACATTAAAAATACGTTGTGTACATCTAAGGTAATCCTCACTTTTTAAATTTAAAAATGTACACATTTGTATATATCTAGCCAACTGAATATTTAATTTCCTATTCCGAAATGGGGAAAAAATCTCCTCAAATGATTTTTTTTAAATCAAGATCCTTGTCAGCCGTACTGTAGTTCATCGTTAGGTACTTTTAGTTCGGAGTCGAGTGCATCATACTCAATGGTACTTTTTTTTTAACCCCGCATTGTAGCACAAACGTACCGATTCATTCTTGTTACAATTTTTGTCCGGCATCATATAATACATCCTTGATCTCGGTCAATATAAGAAATTCATAGTATTTTCAAAAAGCTTTTAAATACTCTCGCATAGATCAGATGGAAACACTTCATTCGAAATCGGATTGTAAAAAAGCAACTTCCATTCTCGATAACATTCAGCTTAGCATACATGAAGAGATAAAGAGTACAGAAAACCAAGAACACTATGAATATTCTATGTGCATAGTAATGATATGCGCAGCTGTATGCGCAGTAAAATTGTTTGTGTAATTTTTAGTTTCCTCTGCTCGTGCAATTTTCGATTTTTGTTTGTGCATATTAAACCCTTTAATCGAGTAAAAAAAATCGGATTCGTGTATTTTTCGTTATGTTTGTGTAAAAATCTTTTAAACTATGTGCAATTTTTACCGATACATGCATTTTTATTTTACTCGTGTATATTTTTCTTCTAGTTCGTGTATAAAATCGTGATCGTTGTGCAGAAAATAATTTTGAACCAATCGGCGTGCCATAGAAAACTCTTATGCCATGTATTACTCCACTAGTTCAGATCAGAAAATCTTAGATATAAAAATAAATGCGTGCCTTGTCGAATCACTACACAATGTGTCTTTCCCTTAACAGAAAAGTCAAGGCACCCAATTTTATACAAATTTCATAAAAAGGGCTCAAATTCACATAGAACAATGCTTCTATTTTTTTGACACATACATATAGAAATGCGTCCCATCTTTTGCAGATACAGAACAACGAATCTAACCTTTGTGTAGATGGCAGGACAAATGGTTATGGTTCTAATGAACTCTTGCTAGCCTATCCCTGTCACCACTCTGGGGGACCTCAGGTATTTATGTCCCCACGTGATGCATTACTTTTGAATTTCGTTCCTTGCTTTATATATACATATGTATGTATGTATACCATACATATTATCAAAAACTTCATGTATCCCTCAGGTTTGTCTTTAAGCCAAATTATTCTGTTCTGAAGTACTTGGTCCTTAAATACAAGCATAAATATTATTTTTACTATTATTTTTACAGTTATATTACATGTATGTTTATATATTATCATATATAGATCTCAAATTCTAAAATGTATACTACGCATGTCTGTATATTATAGTTTAAGCGAGCATACTTTCGTATATGTTGTAGTACTGGGAATTATCCGCTGATAACGAGTTACGCCACGGAATGATGTGCTGTTTTAAGAAAGACAACAATGTGGTCGTACAATCTTGTGGCGTGAGCAACAATCACGAATGGTCATATGACCAGGTATGTGAGTACAGTATCCTAATTATTAAAACTATTGGAACCAGGGACTATGGTGAATGAAACCAATGAAATAACAAAAAGGTTGAGACATGAAGTTGCCACACGACCTGGTATGTAAGGGTAGTGGTTTAACGTGTTGATAATACATGTCACGGTGATATTTGAACAGAAATTCTTATGAAAGATAAGTGTAGAATGAATAGCGCTTTAAATAATTCTAAAATCTTGTTTTGTGGAAAGGGGTGCGGGTTAGGATCTTTCTCTAACTTTTTTATATTATTTTTAATACAAGAGTGTGCCCTGAGTTTGATTTCAGTGTAACAACTAGAAAGAAAGTGCTTTCAGCGTAGATAATCAGCTAAGAACTCATTGGTTTATTTCAACACATTACCAGTTTCTTTTATAAATGTTGTAGGCCTAATTAGTACATCTAACTTGCTTTACTAGAAAGTTTTGTAATTTTCAGTCTGGACAAATGGTACACATCCAAACTGGTCTATGTCTGACCATAGTAGACAGTCACAAACCGGTCATTTTGGCGGATTGCCAACATTTACCATCACAGCTGTGGAGCATGCGACGGAGTTAATATTTACAGCTTTATTTCTAAAAAAATGTACATTTTATGTTTAATTATATACAGTGCATATACGTGTATGAAGTAATATTATAAACGAATAACTGATTGTGATTGAAGACTTATTTTGTTTTGAGGCATTACAAGCAAAGTAATAAATTGTGATAGATTTTTCCGTGTATGAAATAAATAATAAAAAAAATATGTCTCAATTTTTAGTGTAGGATAAAAATTACCAAAATCTTTTTATCCTACAAAATACAACATACTATTGTTATTCTTAAATGAAAGAATTTAATTGTGAAACCAAATGTTTGTAGCTTTTTGAATAAATAAATGACTAAGTAAATAAAAAATATAAATAATAATTCAAGCATTCTGTAGCCTTAGACTGTGTTGAATGATTAATTTATTTCCAACAGGGATTGATTAAATTTTTTTAAAAAATCATAATTTTCGCACCGTAATATGAATCATTTCAACATTTCTTTTAAAAATACTCAAGCTTGCTTTTTTCCCCCACGTTTCTTGAAACTTCAACCACAGATAAGAAATTCAAAGATATTTCGTTTACAGCCTCAATTTATTTTTTTAAAAGATCTAGCGGACTCCTTATTATGTATATTATTACTTATATGATATATATATATAATGTTATTCAAGATAAATAAAATCTCTCGTAGAAATTTTGGTGTCATAAAACACAGGCACCTGACGTTACTTATTTTTCTTTTAATAAAAAAAATATACTCCCTGACAAATTTTTTTATTAAAAGTAAAATTATGAGGCATTAAGCAGTTTAAGAGTTATCTACCTTTCACCTGTCAAATGTTTCTATAAATAGAAAATTACGTATATTTATGTCGTCGGAATAACTGTGTACTGTGTAATCTACCTGGGTGATAAATCTGTAGTACTCTCAGTACTTACTGGACTGATTGAAATACGATACAATTTTATCATTCACTATTTAAACTGAGGAAGCTGTACGCTCATCTTCTCGTATTCAGTTCAGCGGGATTCCCAAACTGGCCTGAACAAATGTCAACATGACAGCTAAACCCCACGAATCTCACAACAGAAGCGTTCTCCACAGAGCAAAGGAGGGGGATTTACTGGAGTTTCCCCGGGGGTGGTACTCCCACTGGGCTGTTTATGTAGGTAAGGTTGTATTTAATTAAAAACAAAATACATGATGTCATCGATATTGTTTTTTTTATGTTTTGTGATTGACGTATCGATCTTTCAACAATGTTCAACAGCCTGTTCAAAAGTTTAGCTGTTCAAAATCCGAGATTCCTCTGACTCTAATCCCTGCTTCTATACTGTAATCTGTGCAGGGGAGAAGCACGTCACAATATAAAAGCAGGGGAAACAGTCAGAGAATCTCGGATTAAGCTGTTCAATTAATGTCTTGTGCATTTGTACCAATATTATAATTTGCAGGATGTATTTAGTTGATTTATATGTTAAATACAACAGGATAGACACTTTAAATGGGAACCGGAGTCGGTTATCTTATCTTGTATCGGTAGGGGGCGCCACAGGAAAATGCGGTCCATTACAAAAGTGATAAAACCTGTGAAGATGGATAATCAGCATCCATTCTCGAATACGATATCGGAAAGCACACACGTTTCAGTTACAATCCTTAATTTACTATGGCATCTAATTGTGGTGATATGACTATACCTGAACTTAAGAACGAGTTAGAAAAGTTTGGAGCAAAGAAATCAGGAAGGAAGTGGGAACTTGTGGAGAGGTAAATAAACATACGATGTTTTCATGCAAATCCAAGTAAACATTATTAATAACACAGTAAATAATTATCAATGGTGTGTAAAAGATTAACATTAAGTCAAATTGACAGTAAATATCAGAATTACCTCGTTTAAGAAACTAATTCTTAAATAATCTGCAACTTTAGCGTGTTAGATTTTTAACTTGAATTTCCTCGGTAATTCTAACATCGATCTCATATTGCTTGGTGCTTGCAGTAAAATAAGAATACTTCTCTACATTTTTATTATGAAGCAGTATTATTATTTCCTGATTGTTGCAGCTATGTTTCACTCAAAATATACATGAAAAAGAATTAAATATGCTTATTTTATTGCAGACTTGAAGCCTACAGAAGAAATGCACATTGTGCTAAGACCGATGTTTATGGACCTGAATTTATGATGATGACGCCAGATCCACAACTCTACAAGGACCTTCATGGTGACAAGACCTTTCCAGGTTGCACAGAGGCAGAAATTTCCACTTTCTTGTCGAAGTTTAATAAGACAACTGATAAGAAAGGAAGGGATATGTACAACGATGGGTTTATCCAGTATGTGAGGGTGACATTTCATGATTCAAATTGGTTCGTTAGAAGTAGTGTAAAAGCTTCAATGATGAAGTCTGTGAAATGTTGTTGACATTATGATAGGAAAAGACAGAAGTGTTATAGAGTCTCAATGTGAATGTGCGGCAGGCATGGGACCCGATGCACATTGCAAGCATGTCTGTGCTGTACTTTTTTCATGTGCAGATTTTGTTAAGCATGGGACATACAAAACAGAACTCACCTGCACACAGAGGTTACAAACTTTTCATCGTGCTAAGCCCCATAAAGGAAGCCCTATGAAAGCAAGACAGTTGGACATGCCAGGCTGTGACGAAGTATGCAATAATGACTATGACCCTCGTCCAGTTGAATTTAGAGGCAATCCGGGATACCAGTCTTACTTTAGAAATGTGTGCTTGAATTACCCAGGTATTAGTAAGACTCCAATTTTTCAGCTGTATGAGCCTGTAAACATGAAAGCTTACAACCTGGACCATGACTATCTAAAAGACACGTTTAGTGAAAATCATTTGAAACTTTTAAATGTATCAGAAATTTCAGAGGAGAATGCACGTCAAGTTATGATAAAAACAGCTACACAAGCAGCCAACGACCTTTGGTTTGAGGAACGTTGCAAACGTCTTCATTCTTCGGTATTCGGGAGAATATGTAAAGCAACTGATCGAACTGATAAGGTGAAACTTGCTGACTTTTTAACAACAAAGGCACAAAAAATTAATGCTAAACCTATTCTTCATGGAAGAAAATACGAAAAAGAAGCTGTGAAGAAGTACCAGGAAATTTCGGGACGCACAGTTTACAATAGTGGAATTTGTGTCAGTCTGGACTCCCCTCATTTAGCAGCAACCCCAGATGGTATTATTGACGATGACACCTTGATTGAAGTTAAGTGTCCATATGTGGCAAGAAACAGTTTTATTTCCTCAAAAACAGTTCCTTATATCAAGCAGTCTGGAAGTAAATTTTATTTGAATAAAACCCATGACTATTACTATCAGGTCCAAGGACAACTTTACTGTGCAGAGAAAAATGAGTGTATATTTGTTGTGTATACTTTCAATGACTTTTTGTTCTTTGCAATAGAAAGGGATGATAAATTTATTGATGAGATGAAGAAAAAATTGAATGAATTCTATGAAGATTTTTTTAAGTCTGCTCTATTGGAAAAAACTTTTTTCAAGACATATGATGGAAAATGTAGTTGCAATAAAGAAAAATGAAATAAAGACTTTTTTCCCTTATTATGTCATTTTTAATACCAAGTTATGCATAAGATGGCACTATGCAATTCTTAAAATTACACAACATGAAACAAACATAGATTATTTCTGAAGAAAGTTTTGTTTCAGAACTATTCATAGGCTCAGTCAGAATTTTGAATGTTTTTGCAAGTCCAATGATCCTCTCAATGTGCACACGTTTGCTGGATATTTTTCGGTCCTCAATCACAGTAGCACATGACATTCTGTTTTTCTTTTTGAAAAATGTTGGTGTATTTATTTGAATGTTCCTGTGTACAAACATATCCTGCACATTGAAACCTTTGTCCGCCATTATTGAATCTCCAGAATTGCACATTTCTAACAGCCTACTTCTTTCAACTATTTGACGGTCACTTGTGGATCCCCCATAAGCTGTAGAAATATAAGATGTTAATCCACCTGGTGTCGCTCCTACAAGAACTTTTACCGTGTTACGGTTTTTATAGGTAGAATACGTTGCTTGCTGTGGCTTTGGTAACTTTGGTCTTTTAATTGGACACTCTGTGCCATCTATTATCACTCTAGTTTTTGGAAATTTTGTTTTAAAATCTGATGGACAGTAATATTTTACAAGATACTTTGTAGGCCAATTGTCGATTTCCTGCCATTGCTTACTCATGAATAAAATCCATGTAAAAAATATATTTGATACAGTCTTTTCGGAAACTCCAAATAATCTTGAAAGTTCAAAATTGGTCGTATGGCGCCGTAACTTGCAGAGGACTAAGAAAAATTGGTCAGGAACACTTATGTTTGAAACCTTATGATAAATATAATTCAAACAGTGAGCTGCGGGTCCTAAGGTTCTTAAAACAAAATAAAATTTAGTTAGAGTTTCCAATCCAGTATAGAAATTTACTCCGGCATCATCATTTGTAAAGTTTTCAATACTCATTGGGGGATACCGAGGAGTTTGTGTCTGTACATCAAAAAATTTAACGTCAGATTTCTGAACAGTGACTTGAATTTCTTCAGCCAAAATTTGGGTAGAGTTAGATACAATTTCCTCGGATACTTGCAGATCATCAGCTGATGTATAGATGAATTCATCTATGGAAGACGAAGCAGAAAATTCTTCTGCTAGTTTTCGTTTGATGCCTCTGGACTTGGCTCTGTCGGCTCGTTCATGTGAATGTGGACTTGGCTCTACCCAGGGAAAAATGCTTGGCACTGCAGTTTTCTTCAATCTTTTACTTAAAGGAGTAGTTCCTAAGAATTAAATTATTTAATATATCAATACTTGTTCATAGTACTAGATTATTTATTAAATAATTAATTTATAATTTGAACTAACTTTTTAAAGCAAATAAAACAAATATAAATTTACTAAAATATTTTTATTATTACAAGTATTATTGTTATAAAATTGATGTTACAAAACATGCCCATGTGTTTATTAATTCAACTAAACAGGTCAAATTTGTTTTTAAGCAGGGTGCTAATTAGACATCAATGTCAAAACACAGTATCTTGTACTGGTAGATATGCATAAATTATCAGGCAACAGCATGTGTTCTTTTAGACATGCCTTGTGTTTATATTGTTAAAAGATAATGCGTTTGTAATAAATGACCAGTAATTGAAGTTGTCAGTGGGGAGTCTGCATGTGGCAGTGTCTGTAACGTTATCAGATTACTTCGTATGAGAGGTAAACAAGGGATTCGATATTTTAGTGCATTTCATCTAAGCAAATAAGGCATAAACATTGCTCAGAATAAAATCTATTAACATTACTTTGCACATGCTTATCAAAGATTTCAAAATAAATAAATAAATATTGTTACCATGCTGGGTTTCAGTCAAATAGTCGTCTGATTTAAAATGTGCTCTGCAAACAACAGCATGAGTTGACGGAGTCCAGCTTTGAAAACGAGTTTCACCACGTTTTATTGCGTGTATCCATGCTTTTCTTCTTAACGGATCTGTTGGAAATATATGGCCACCCCGATTACTACAATTCGGCACACAACAACAAGTTTCAGGCATGTTTTACGAGCATGTGTTTGACAGCAGATTGTTTACGTTTTTCTTCGATCGGTAACTACTGATAAGGCGCGAGGGTGTTCCGATACAGGACCGTGTTTGCCTGTGGCGCCCTCTAAAGAAAAGATAATCGGAGCAGGTTCCTAAAAAGCACACTATATATATCCATTGCGATTTCATGGATACTGATAAGGATAAAAGATCAAAGTGGAGTATAGACAATAAAAAATAATTTATTAAGCATAGATAATTTTTAAAATTATGCTCACCTGTTGATTTTGACAGGAAATGAGGAGGTGGTGCATTTAGCCGGGGATGAAAATGACGGTATAAATGGTAACATAAAAACACACCATGTATTTACCATCTGTGGGAAAACCTTCAACAAGGCTATAGTTAAACGAGAGAACTTCTGGGAGGTCGTTCTGGACTCCAAGGCCGAAATCAACAACAACAAAGACAGAAAATGCAGGTAAAACAGTAATTATAAACAACAACAAAGACAGAAAATGCAGGTAAAACAGTAAATATAAACAACAACAAAGACAGAAAATGCAGGTAAAACAGTAAATAGAGTACTAAGTGGATATAATTGCCGTCAAAAAACACTATAATGGTTTTCCAGTGGCAGATATAAAATGTAAACTTAACAAAGATTTTTTTTTTATTATAAAACAAAATTATAAACAAACAACAAAGTCTTTTTATTTGTGGAAGAAATAAAAATTGCTAAATTTCCTTTTAATAACTTTGTAAGATGCAGACTGGCAACATGGAAAGTTGTAGCCATTTATTGAAGCAAAACTGCATATGCACAAGAACACCCTTTACAAAAAAAATATCTTAACATAAAGTAAACATTAACTTAAAGTTAACATTTCTGTTTGACTTTGGTCATTTGTTGGAAATTTAACTTTTTTTAAAAATAAGTAGTGAAATCTGGCTTTTCCAACTGCATCTGCTTAGACATACCGGTATGACATCGTATTCATATCAATTTTCCAAAAATTCTATTTTTTATATGACCATTTTCTTTTTTAAAAAACACGCAGTCCACGTCAAGCACATGAAATAGTTGAAGAAGCCTTGATGAAGATAGGAAAGATTGGCTACAATGTACTGTGGAATAACTGTGAACATTTTGCTGCCTACTGCAGATATGGGGTGAACTGGTCAGAGCAGGTGCGTGTTTATAAATGAATTCATAAAGTATACTTGTACTTGTAGTTAGTCATGAGATATAGTAACTAACTACAGGTTATCAATTGAAATGTGTTCTATTTATAGGCTAACACGGCCTTGACCTGGATGATGGTGGGGGGAGCCATGGTGATGGTGGGAGGATTAGTTAAGGAATGGTTCAGTGGCAAGGAAGACAAAAAGGAAAAGAAAGCAGAAACTTCCTGAATACTTCACAGTTCCAGAAATGTTGTGGACATTATATATTTCACTCCTTAGTAATTTATTTTTTTGGAATATTTGTTAATTAATGTTTATGTATTTAAACTTTGATTTTATTAATTGTGATACCGTTAATTTTACTAGGAATTAATTACATGTTTTGAATGTATATTTTTCTTTGGTTTTGGCTGAAGTGCAATACTAATGATTACTTTTTTTATTCTTATCATATGTTTCAAGCAGTAAAATGACTTGCATGATATCGCAATCAAATATTGCCAAAGAAAAAAAATCATATTTGTTTCCTTTATTTTTTAATAGATAAATCAAAATCGTCTTCATCTAATATTTTAGAAATGATCTGTTATGAATCTTCCTTTCATGGGGTTATAGAATTTCAATTTGAATGGAATTTGTCTTCTGTGAATGATCTGATATCATGACCTGATCTTTTCATATAATAAAATGTCTCATAAACAATGAATTCCATAAACAATGAATTCCATTTCTAGAGTTGATTAAGAGTAACTTGTTAACTTTTTAAAGTTATTAGATTAATAACATTTTCTACACATTTTTCAGATTATTTATGTATTTAAAAGATATTTCTATGATTGAAACAGAAATTAATTAATATCTGTAGTAAAATATTTGTATATTTCATTTGACAAAGATTTCTGAATCCTAATTTTTTTTATTTGTGCTATTGATGTATATATTTTTGTTTATTTTTTAATTCTCTATGTAAATAGTTATTTTTCTATCGTTATTCATTTCAAATTTTACTATAATCTTTGATTTATAATCTTTCATTTTGTCTTTCTACCATGTCTTTCTGGTATAAATTTTGGATTTGTGTTTCATGTTCCTAATGATTTTAATGTTTTGAATATTAATTTATAGTTGCAAAATAAATGGGATTTAATCTCTCTTCTTAGCATGAAATTTCTCATAAGTGGTAGTAAAAACTGCTTTCAACAAGTTTTTAGAAGAAGCCAAAGCCTCTTATAATATATATAAATTCTTGATTCCATCGGTATATCAAAATTGAGTAAAGAATTTTTGAATAGTGAAGTATATCATTCCTTTTTATAGTACTTTGTAGCATACGAGAAATATAAGGATGGCATTATAAAGGACACACATCTCCTTATCACTACAATGTAAATTATGCAGGCAAATATATTATTGTCATGAAATATATGGAGATAACGAACAGTAATTGAGCTCAAAAGTCTATAATTCAATATAAAATTAAGGAGCAGAGCAAACACGGACTTTTAAAACATCAGAGGTGGGATCAGGTGCTATGGACGAGCATCCCCTGCCGACAGGTCACACCCGCCGTGTGATCCTTGTAACTTATCATGATGGGGAAATAGCGGGAAAATCCGTCGTCAATTTAATGTATAAATAATGGCCTAACAACATCAGTCAGCATGTGACTCCATGATAAATTGTATTTGCTGATAAGGTCATTGTATCCACCATAGAACTTACGATATGCATGATGACGTTAAAAGAGACTGCTGGTGTTCTTGTTTCATCAACTTCTTTATAAATAATTTATATTACCTCGTTTTGAATATTGTACATGCGCAGACGTTGTACATACGTAGAGCATGCTCTTGCGTATCGAATCAACTGAGATATATAAACTCCGTATGCAGATGATGAAGATACAGAGTGTATATCGCTGCATAAGTAAGTGAAGTTGACGATTGAAAAGTTAAAGTCAATATGTTTATCATAGAGCTTGGTTGTTAGATTACCATTAACGGTTTTTTTTTTCAAGTAAAATATCCAAATCTAAAACAGGTATGTCAGACTCTGTTGTATCTTTTATCTCAAGCTCACCCGGATAATCGTATCGACGTAAGAATGGAAATTACCATTGTTAATTGACAATATGTCGACGATATATCTAAATGTCGAGTTGAAGACGACAGCAAGCGTTTTCTTCTAATCACGAATAGGATTTTGGACATATTCTGCTTCATATGAATACGAAAATAGGTCTGCTAATTACGGGACACAACTGGTACTGGTGTGAATTCCAATACATTGTTGGAAGTCCAGGTCTCCCTAAACCACATATTAGATATTATTTGTCAGAATTTCAAGTATCTTTTTGATGTCAACATCAGAGTACTTGTGTGTACAATCAGAATGTTTTTATCAAAATGATTTTGCAAATGACCAACGATAAGGTAGGTAAAAGTACGATTTTTAGTGAAAAAGCAGCTGTCAATGATATCAAAAAGCAGCTGTCAATGATATCAAAAAGCAGCTGTCAATGATATCAAAAAGCAGCTGTCAATGATATCAAAAAGCAGCTGAAGTTAAAAAGTCGTAAGTTTTTAAGCTTTTGATTTTTGCACTATCTTGTGATTTCAAATTGATCAAAAGTTCCTCGGAATTTTGAAGCATCCACATATGATTTACACCACTTCTAGAATATATTGTTGCACAGTACTCCTGAAGTTTCTCCTTCACTACTGTTAATATCTTAGTAAAGAGTAATGAAAGAGGCTTTGTTGAACATTTACTAGAACCCGTTATGTATCTTTGTAAGGATTCTTATGAAGCTTCCGAATCCAATATACAAGTACATGTATATCTCGTAGTTTAAATTCAATTTTCTATGTTTGGGATATCAAAACTGACATTATTTTTAAGAATTTCTTCTTAGAAAGGGAACTATCTTCAACTTTCTAAAATGAGGGACAGCAAAGATCTTAAACTTTGTAAGATGCAGACTGGCAACATAGAAAGTTCTAGGATTTCATTATACAAAGCTGCATGTGCACAAAGACACCCTTTTTAAAATCATTTATTAGGTTTCACATAAATGATTACTTAGGTTTTCACAAAAGCTCCTTAAGTTTAAATTTTTGTTCGACTTTTGTTAGTTGTTAGAAATTTAATTTAAAAAATTGTGAAATCTTGATTTCCCAAATGCTTCTGTTCAGACATACGACGTCAGCATTACTAATATATTTCCAAAAAAAAAAAAATCTGTTTTTTTCAATAAAACCGACATTTTTTTTTTTTTTGAAAACATGTCGACCCTGTTCAGAACATAAGATAGTTGAAGAAGACTTGATGAAAATTGGAAAGATAATTTATATCTGCAATGTACTGTGAAATACCTGTGAAAATTTTCGCTGCCTGCTGTAGATACGGGGTGAGCTGGTCAGAGCAGGTGCGTGTGCTAAATTCCTTTTGTTAGTCATAGCTTTAACTTGGAAAATTGCTTACATTTTTGGTTTTTTAAGCATGCCATTCATGTTTCAAGTACAAGTTCGTAGCAAACGAGGAACACAACATTAACAGTGTACAGGATACTCCTCTCATCATGACAATGTACTGAGGCAGGCAAATATAATCTAGACATTTAAGTGATGAAGAAGAAATTGAATAACAAGGAAAAAGATAGCTTAACATTAACTATTTAAAGTAAAGCATTCAACAACATCCAATAGATTACAGCGTACAGAAAGGTTTGATGAAATATGGAGAAAACATCAAATTTCTATTAAAACAATAGAGATTGGGTCGACAGCAAACACACGGACCTCTTAAAGCAACAGAAGTGGGATTAGATCATCCGGACATATGTTTAGATCATACTTCAAGTTCTATTTCAGAAGAATCTGTACAATTGTACACACAGTTTACCTGCTATCCCATTCATCAGAGTCACAGGAGAATAAAAAGTAGGTCAGATGCACATACCCGGAGGATGCTCCAGGCTAAGTGTCTTGAAATGAACCCCCTCTCTATTTATCTGTATTTCTCTTTAGACTTTTCAAAAAAAGAGACAAATGGCGTTGTGGTTTTGTTTAAACAAATATATTTTTAGTTTTCGGAAAAAAAAACACACTTCTTGTGTAGCTTTGTCATTCAACAAAACTACCATCAATTTTAGTTTTTGGAAGTTAAATTTGGTATTGCTGTTATTTTCTATATTTTTTTTTTCATGTTCCTTACAATGGTTTTCCTCCTTTGCGTAGGATATAATATTGTCAACCTTCCCTTCTTAAGAAAAAAGCAAAATCTCTCTCTTTTTTTTGCCTTGATAGTAGTTGGCAATAACTGTACACTTTCAATGTTTTGTTCTCCATAATTTCTTTAAACTCTCTTTGCAGCTGTTTGTAATAACGCATCAATATTTCATCTCCTTTGCTATACACTTTTCATCTTTTTAAATAGTTTGTTTTTTGACACATGAAACACGATTAAATATGTTTCTCATTCAAGAAAGGTCATTGTATCGATATGAAACTTGCGAAATAATGACTTTAAACTACACCTGAGCTTGAGATAAAAGATACAACAGAGTCTGAAACATATTTTTCATACTTGGATATTTTACTTGAAAAAGACGTTAATGGTAATCTAAAAACTATGCTCTATGATAAACGTAATGCCTCTTAACTTTCCTATCGTCAACTTCCCTTATTTATGCAGCAATATACCCTCATCAGCTGCATACGGAGTTAATATATATCTCAGTTGATTCAATACGCAAGAGCATGCTCTACTTAAGAACAATTTCTAAAACGTAAAAAGTAAATTATTGACAAACTTGTTGATAAAACAAGAATTTCAGCAGTCTCGTTTAAAGTCATCATTTCGTAATTCTATGGTCGATACAATGACCTTGTCATCAATTACAGTTTATCATTGAATCAAATGCTGACTGACGTTTTCCATACTAATTATTATTTCATTACTTTTACACTGAATTGACGACGGATTTTTTCGTTATTTCCCAATCAACACAAGGAGCACATGGCGAGTGTGACCGTTCAAAAGGGGATGTTCACTCCTCCATGGCACCTGATCCACCTCTGATGTTTTGGAGGGCCGTGTTTGCTCCGCTCCATCTCTTTGAAACATCTATTTTTTGCGTTTTATAAAATCTCCGATTATAAATCGTAATTATAAAAGAAATGAACGGAGCCTGTCGAGGATGAAGTCGTTTTGTGAGAATGATGATATATAATTGTTTTATGGACTTTGATATCGAATGCTGTTCGTAACCGGGGGTATTCTCGAATCCTTAATGGATACTTTTGTTTCATCAACTTGTTTGTTATTAGCTAGTCTCGTTTTAGAAATTGTTTGTACTTTTTATACTAGTATCTTGAATTAAGGTTTCGTCAAAGGTCAACATGTCTAAAAGATTATTTTTACAATAGCT